AGGGACATGTCAAACGGCATTAGAACATCAGTTTGGCATTTAAGGAGCAAGAACCCACAGAAAAATTCTTCTGTATGTTAACGACCTAGTCCATTTTTAAACTAAACCAAGAAAAGAAGTTAAAGTTTGGTGTCACCTTACCCCAGTACTGAGGTTTACTCTTCAAGTAAAATCACCCCCAAAAGAAACCTCAACTTCACTCACAAATCTGAGGGAGGTGGAGGTAATATATCCTCCCATGGGTCCTTCTCCATGACTCCCCACACTTCACAGTTCTGTTCTAAGCCCATGCAAATTCAGAAAACCCCCCCGTAAGCCATTGTCTTATATTTTTCCACCCAAACCAGTTTCCTCTCTCAGAAAATTACTCGAAATGTAAGTTGAATCAATCTGAGCCTCCCCTATGGAGGTCCATCTTCATGTGGTATCCTATTCAAAGGAAACACAAGTTGGGGCACCCGGTGGCTCAGTTGGTTAAGCATCTGACTCTTGATTTTGGCTCAGGTCACGATGGTGTCTGCCTGAGGTTCTTCTCCCTCCCTCTCGCTCTCTGCCCCTTCCCTAACTTGCGCTCTTGCCCTCTCCCCCTTTTTCTAAAAATAAATAAATATTTAAAAAAAAAAAACACACACACACAAGCCTAATTCCAAATGCCTTTAAAAATGTAAATCTTGGCTAAGCTTCTTGAAGAAGGGGCCATTTTTCTCTAAGTTCCACTCAAGAGCTACACCCAGCCCATTCTTTTTCCAGGGAGTAGCTTTGCACTTTTTCCTGTGTAAATCAATCCAGCCTCTGTGATTCTCATTGTCCTTCCCTCCTAGCAATCACCTTAATCCAGCCACAAGAATGGGAGGCCACGCAGCTCAGAATCCTCCCGTAGAAGGCTGGAAGGGAAGAAAGACTGCAACTACCGGGGCTTCAGGGGCTTAGTCCCAAAAGTAAGAATGGGGAACCAGAGCAAAAGGATGCAGAGAACCTGAGGGACTAAGGTTGTAAGTCCTTAAGAACCTGAGGGACTCCCTCTATCCTCAAGATGGCAGCCCTCCGAATGGGGCTGGGTTCTGGCATGGCTGCCCTGGTGCCCACCAGCAATGGAAGGCCAGCCTCGAAATCCTTAGGACCCTCCACAGAGTCCTGGGAAAACTCTGCCCAAACAGGCATAGTCAGAGCAATCTGCATGTGTCTTCCTCTCTGAGAAGAGCTTTTCAAGGATTCAGGTTTCGATGTAAAATGGTATGCAGCCAAAAGAGAAAAACAGGGTTCTCATCAAGTTTGATTTTCATTCCAGTAAGCCTTTGAAATGAAGGAGGCAAAGTCTTTCCAAAGATGTTTTCTATGATTCAGAATAATTGGGTCCAGTTTAATTTAGTGCACGATGGAGTTAAAGAGCTACATGGCTGCTTCAAGTGTGTTTTGCAGTTCCCAGCATCACTAATTAGCTCCACAACATAAAGGTTAATGAGATAAAACATCTATAAATCAAGTTGATGGCTGATTCAAGAAGAAAGCCCCCAACTTCTGCTACACTGTGATAACACTATAATTTCACTCTTTCAGGCTATTTATTCAATTAAATTTGATCATGTGTGAAGATAGACAAACGTATAATTATAAAATTCATATTTAAATTATAAATTACCTTGCCCAAAGCTCCTTTCTAAATTTAGTTATTCAATACCCATAAGAAAGTAAGTCGATTGTTAACTATTACCAGCATTGATCAAACTGGAATTAACTAATTTGATGAGAGGGTTAGTAGTGACCTTCCCAAAGAGCAAAAGTCTGTTATATTCAAGAACCACATTCCTTAAAATATGGAAATAAAACAAAGTCCAGAAAATAAAAGTGTGGATTTTATTGACTAAAGTGATAAGGAAATTTGGTATTTAGAGAACATTCTGGTGAATCCTTTTGTAATTTGAAGGATTCTGTCCCACTTAAATCCTCTGTATAGATGAGTTTTTCAGGTGGTTATGAGAAGGGGAAAAAAAGCTCAGAGTCAGGGGAGCAAGGTTAACATCTCAACCACTTACTAGCTCCATGGCCTTAGGTTACTTCAACACCTGTGCCTCAGTTTCTGCATCTGTAAAAGGGAATAATAATAGACTATTTCATGGGTCTGAGGACAAAATGTGATAATCCATGTGTATCACTTAGCACTGGGTCTGGCAGAATGTGCAGCCTTGAAGCATGAATTTAGTAGGAAGAAGTTCTTTGCCATTTATCATGAAGGTATAGTTACTCGTTATCGAGCTAGTTTGAGTGCAGTATTTAGCAATTTTTCCTTTTGTCAGGGACTTGACAGAAGACTTGATGCACCTTGATTTGTTCCCCTTGCAGACTTGGGTTTAACTTTAAAGTTTACAAGTTTATCGTGTCCAGGGTGTGCAGATCCCTGGGAGATGGGCAAGTAGCCTGGAGTCTTGTTGATATTTGATACAAGAGGTCTTGAATAGAAATGGCATTCCCTAGGCCGTTATTTTGAGCCTTTAGCTACAGAGGAAATTTCCAGATCTTCTGACACTCTCTGAGCCTCCCCACCGAACCCACTTCCTCAGAAGAGCACAGAGAGCACATTCTTAGAATAACTATCTTACTTCCGGATGTCCCCACTGGGTGCGTGCGCACCTCTGTGTGTGTGTGTGTGTGTGTACACATATGTGCACATTTCTAGCAGGCAAGGATGTTCTCTGCAGGTTAGAGCACCGCAGATGAATTGATACGGGGAGACTCTAACACATTAGTTTCAACTATTGGCTCTGACAACCAGAGAATAAACTCCATTCCAGGAGAAAAAGTCAAGGAAGAAGAGGAAGCTGAAACCCCGCAGAGAGCCTCGCCTCGCAGCTGCAGCCCAGGTGGACCTGGCCCCGCTGACCTTTGCTCTGTCTTCGAAGAACCACACAGGCTTGCGTCTGTCCCTCCTCTATTGCATCAGCGGGAGCCCATCCGCCCTTCCCCTCCTCCCCACCCTGCTCCGCCCCGCCCTGGGAAGTGGTAACGAGGATGAAGTAACAGCCTGTGAGGCAAGCACTCAGGCAGGGGGGAAATCTGGCTCATTCCTTCCAGCCAGGCCCCACCCAACAGGCGCTCCTTAAACTTGAGTCCATGAAGAACAAGTGCCCAACTGGCCCACAGTCCTCCCCACTGTCCTTACACTGCAAGTGCTCCCTTCTAGCTCCACTTGGGCATGGGTGGGATCATGGGCAGAACTTCCAAGCCTTCTGTTTGAGCCAGGGTGGGCTCCAGGATCTCAGAGTCTGAGAGCTGGAGAAACTCAGAGGGCATCTGAATCAATATTTTACTTTTACAGATGATAAAAGTGAGGCCCAGGGAAGTAACGTGATTTGCCTGGGTGGGCGGGGCGCACAGTAGATTGCATCAGCTTATTCTGACTATGGCCCACACCTCCTCTCTCCCCCACGACCTCAGAACAGCTAAAGAACCAAGTGTTCAGACTCCAAACTTGGCCAATCTTCAGATGGAAGACAGCACCTGAAATGACTGTTCAGAAGTCACATAAGCTGGCAGGTAGGATGCTTAGAAGATTCTAAGATTCTAAGGTGAGGTTGACATACATTCTGAACATATGTAGAAGAGGAGGAGAGGGAGATCGCACAGGAGAACAGGCCAGTAGCAGGCTGAGCTGGGGCAAGAGCAGATTGTGAGGGAGAACGAGGGACCCATTCTGGAGCAGTCCCAGTGAGATGAGCCTATGCCTGGGTCTGCCCGGGGACCTCAAGCCGCCTTCATCCTGGGAAGTGCCAGGCCCACTGAGAAAGACTGGCAGGTTCCAGACTGCACTTCAACTACCAGCCCCCCTTGCCTGGGACTCTGAACAGGGGACAAAAAGAGCATCCATCAATGAAGGTGTTAACGTGGGCCTCCAGGGAACTGGGTGGAAATCAGGAACTACTGACCATGTGTTCTGACTTAAAGAGTACATTAGGAGCTATAACTGCACACAAATTCACACACATATTGCTTAAAAAAAAAAACTTTATTTAAGTATGATTGACGTACAGAAAAGCTAAAAATACTTCATGTATACTTGATGAGTTTGGAGAACATACACATTCTTTACTAACCTCTAATTCCACTGATGCCCAATCTAGGAGGTAGCCAGCTTCCCTTGGCCACTTGCAGCCAAGGAGTGCAGCTTTGGGGAGCTCCTGTCCTTTCTGGGGCCCTCTTTCATAACCACCTTCTTCGGCTTTTAACCTAAGGACTGGGGCAACCCCTTATATCCTGCATTTTAAGCTTTCCTTGAACTCTGGAAAACTCCCACCTGAGTTTGTGAGCATGACACTGATTTGCTAGACACTTGGGCTGTTTATCTGGCACGTGCGTTTGTGCTGAAGGTGACACAGTATTTGACCAACTGTACTGCCCACCTTCTGACAGCCCCTCTGGACTCCAGAGTGCAGCCATGTACTCTTGCTGACTGCCCATCCTCTTACTACTCTTATGGTGCAATTACTCATCTCAAATTTTCATAATCATCTCAAAGAGGCAAGAAACAATCTTCCTTCTTTCTTCTTTTCAGCCTGATGTGGAAAGATCTTCCAACAGCCAGTAAATGCTGGGGGCTCCAGGTAGGGCCCTCAGGACCAGAGGATAGGGCTTCCATGTGAGAGCCTCTGAGTCGGGCAACCCCGTGGAAAGGAGTTGGAAAAGTACCCATGCTCACTGGGAAAACAGGAAGATGATTCTGTGAGCAAGAGGGTCTGGCAGAGTCACAGTGGGGAAGCAGGTAACAGGAGAGAGGGATCAGGGAAAAGGCCCATTGGAAGGAGCCCCAGACAGTGGAGGGAGGTCCAAACCAATGCCATCAGATGGGTTTCTATTTTTTTCCCTAACAAAGTTTCATGAGTCGACTCAAATGTTTGCTCTGACTTTCTGCCCCTAAGGAGGAAGAAGGTAGTTAGTCCAAGGATTTGGAATTTGGGGCGTTGATTGCCAAGTATGGGAAAAATTCGTTAAAAACGAGCACGCACACTGTCTTCATTTCCTCATACTCTGTCTTCATTCCATTCCTAGCATAGACAACATGGAATTCCAAAGGAGAGCTGAATAACAGAACATAAAGGGAAATTTGAGACCAGCTAGTCAACATGCTCATTTCACAGATGAGAAAACTGAGACCCAGAAAAGCCCTCGGAATCACTCAGCCAATGACTGTAGAACTGGTGGGACTAGAACTCTGTCTCCTAACTCACTCCGTTCCTTTTCTTCCCTTCTACCTGTCCCATTCCAGCTGCCATGACTACTTAGGGGTGAAAGTTTGCCTTGGAGCGCCCTCCTCTGGCTCTGGCTCTGGCTCTGGCTCTGGGCTGCGGGAACAATCATGATGTAGGCCCCGGGTTCTTGAACTTGAAATGAACCATGCAACAGAATCACCTGCGGGGCTGTTGAAACAGATTGCGGGTCTGTCCTAGGAGTTTCTGATTCAGTAGGTCTGGGGCAGGGCCCAATAATTTGCATTTCCAAGATCCAAGGTGATGCTGATCTAATCCAAAGACCACTTATTGAGAATCTCTGGTGTAGGCACAGATCTTGTCGCTCTTGCAGCCAAAAGACCTGGGTTCAAGTCCCAGCTTTACTCTGTATGTCCTGAAACCTTGAACACAATATTACTCAGTCTCCTGGCATCTCAGTCTCTTCATCTTATGATGGTAACTATAATAACCACCCAGAGAGTTCCTGTATAAAATAAATAAATCGGATGTAAAACTACCTGAGGATTGCTGTACAGATGCTGTGTGAATACACAGACTCACCCACATGGCCCTCATCTGGAGAGATGGCACTGTGGGCCAGGGGAGGCCCATGGTGACAGAGTGTCGTCCTCCTAATGCCACTCAAAAATACCACAGACCCGGCAGAAATGGTGTTCACTCTTGCACAAATATTGCCGGAGGAATTATTAGCCCCCCCACACACACTGGATTTACAAAGGTGAATGACAGTCCCTGCCCCGGAGGCGCAATAAGAGGAAGATAAACATGCAAATCCTAACAATTACTTACTGGGTGATGAGCCAGGGAAGGAACCCTATGCCTTGGAGCACAGGGCATCCAATCCTGTCTGGGAAGTCCAGCAAGATTTGGAGGCATCTGACCTTTGAACAGGGTCTTGAAGGATGAATAGGAGTTCTTTGAGAAGGGGGGGGCACTCCAGGAAGAGGAAATAGCATACACAAAGTGTTCACAGAGGCATGGAAATGCATAACATCTTCAAGGGAATAACAGTAGTTCTGTGTAGCTAGAGCCCAGCGGGTCTAGGGAGAGATAGCAGAAGAGGGGATTGGCAAGGGAAGCTGAGGCAAGATTCTGCAGAGTCCTGGACTCCATGCTAAGAAGTTTGGATCTTATCATGGGTCTGTTGGGAAGTCACTAGAAGACACCCACCTTCTCCTTGGAGGATTCCTTGGGGGGGAAAAATCCCTAATGTATCCCCAAGATGAAAATTTATGAGCCAAGGTACTTCACCAACCTCTACACCACCACCAGTGCGTCTGAGTATCCCTGCCAGGAAGCCAAGCCCAGAAAGGCCTCCCGAACTGGGTGGGGGCCCTTGGGAACGAGCTCCCCTGGAAGGCACAGGAGCGGAGGAGCTGCCTCTTACCTCTTACCTTCATCAGATAGGCGGCACTTTCCCAAGATTTCCTCATTCCCTCTCCCCTTGGGTGTGGAGTCACTGGGAGAACAAAAGACTGTTATCTTAAGCTTAGAAGCCTTGGGAAGGGAGGAGGCCAGTGTAGGCGCTGGTGGGGTGGGAGGACTGGCGCTTGGGCAGCGCTGAAGCAATCCGGGAAGAGCCCCGTGCAAACCGACACCTGGGGAGCAAGCCCCTGCCGCACTGACCTCACTGAGCTACGGAGAGTTTCGGAGCCGGAAGAGCGGGGAGAGGTCGTCTACTCCAGCGCCGGCTTTACATTTAGAGATGGCTGGAGATCCCGGAGCTCCCTCCCCGCATCTGACTCCAAGATTTAAAGCCCCAGTCTTGGGAAAAGTGGTGGTTTCTTTGGCCACTGGCCTGCTGCCCCTCTCGTGAGTCTCTCGCATAGTCCCCAGCCAGCTAAATCCCTGCCCCCCTTTCAGAGTCCGTCTTGTTTCCAAACAGGCAGATAGCGCAGCGGAGCGCGCAGAAGGTGGTTGCTGCTGTTTCTGGAACCAGCAATGGCAAGGAAAGGGGCCAAGCTGCTATTCAGAATTGCATGGGCTGGGGTTTTTACACCGGTTCCTCTATCTCCAGCGGAGGGGGAAGCAGATTGCTCAGGCGGGAATAATCCCTTTTGTTTTCAGGAAAATACTTTAATAGGTCTTTGGGTTAAGCAAGGATACAATTCAACCTATTCTGGAAAAGAGACAAAACAGTTCGGTACAATGTGAAGCTACAGGCCCTGCATCATCATTGTAGAGGGTAGTTTTCCTTCGCAATGAACGGGCATCTCTTCAGGGTTTAGGGGGAGTTTTGTTAAACGCTGCAGCCTGGATTTAGCTGTGCTTTGGGGAGGTGTGGGAGGGGCCCCTATGGGCTGCGGAAGAGAGAAGGACTGAGCTCCTGGCCAGCGGGGAGGGCCTCCCAGTCAGTGTGGGATTCCCAGGAGGCCTCACAAATCCTGGAGGAGGAAAGCCAGGAAAGGCCTGAGCCAGGACCTGAGCTGTTCCTCTTCTGGTGGGGGTTGTGATCGCTTCCTCTCTCTGGCAGCTCTACTGAGACCATCAAAGCCCTCCCCAAACCCACGGAGCTCTTTCTGAAAAGACCACAAAGTCATGTAAAACTGGCACATCCACCCCCAGACCCCTGCCACAGTCTGCCCAGGGCGGAGTAAGAACCCCTCTGTGAGAGCAGAGCCTCCCCACCTTTCAACTTGGTTCTGTTAGGAGCCCCAAGGTCAGGTGGGACATGGACAAAACCAGCAGAACCTTTGAGTTGCTAAATGTTTTACTTTTTAAATTTTTCTTTTTCCTCAATACTTTAGTTTGATAAGGTAAAATACTCTATTTTGAGAAAGTTGTTCTAGGAAACTGGATCATCGTGGGATTAAGGATGCATGTCCTGCCAGGCATAGGGAACTGGGTTTAAGGCAGTAACCAAAGGAAGGAATAAATAGACATTTGGGGGTTAAAGCACTTCTCTCTTACATTAGTGTAAGAATTACATTAATCTATTATTTATATGAATATATTGTAAAGATGATAAATATATTCCTATATTACTGTATATTATAACATAAATATAATAACTAAAAACAGTAATTTATAACAGAAAAATCCATGTTAAATATAATATACTACTTTATAGAAAATATAAATAATATGTAAGTGGTAAAAGCCATGAATATCACCAGTTATCTCACCACCAAAAATTAATCTACATTAACCTTTCAGAATACTCCTTCAGAGCTTCCTCTATGCATATAAACAAATTACTAGATATACTGAACATTCACCTACACTTATTTTACAATGCCCATAAAAAAAGAATATGCTTCTTTTTCAATACTTCTAGTAATAATCCCAGAACCAACTCTCATGGGCCCAGCTCGAGACTTGTACCTATCCCTGAATCTAGAACCTACAAAAGCCAATTTAATGTATAAGATAGTTTAAGTGAATGTATACTTTTTGAATTATAATTAATGGATAAATGAGACCATGTATGTGGATGTTCTTTGCACATGTAATTATGAAGATCATTGATTATAAACATTATTATCACCACCCTTTCCCCATCCTTCTTCTTCCTTTCTCCTTGTTTTATCTCCTTTTCTGCTTTCTCCTCATCCCACCAAGTCCCCATCACATCTGGATTAACTAGGCTGTGGTGGACTACTGAGGAGACCAAGTACCATTTATAGTGGTGTTTCCTTGGGCAATGTGGTGTGTGGGAACACACCATTAAAAGGATACCTCCATCTCTCATGGCAGTCAAATTGGCTTCTGAGAACTTTGTCTGGAGTGAGGAAAAATGTGGAGGACATACCCCCTCTCTCGCAGCAAAGGCAAGCCCTGCCTTTTACATTGTCTACTAAACCATTTAGGGCACAGATTTTGGTAGAATAAGAGTTTGTCACTCAGGGAGTACCTACGAAGAATACATTTTTTGGTCAGTGGACCTCCAGAAGGACATTTCAACTGGAAAAAAGCCAGAGAAAAACTACCACGATGACTCAAAGCCTGGAGAGGATATCAATGTGAGAACTGGCATTTTAGTTTGGCAAATTGAAGACTGGGAACAGATCAGGGACTATAAGAACAAAGTGACATAAAGTCCTTTGTGGAGTTTTTTAGGCACTTGAAGTAAGTAGTTTGGGAACAATTAAAATGAATTCCTACTTTAAAAAAATGGGTGGTTGACAAGACAGGTATACTGGAATTGAGTGAGTAAATGGCTGATAGATAGTGGGAACCAGATTTCTTATTTCTGGAGTTTATATTTATAGATAAACATGGGGAGAAGGCTAAAATGATCCAGTTAATGAATTAGAGTTGAAGACATCAGTGGGAACCCATGCTTAACTTAATATAGAAATAGTTACATATGGAAATATTTATAGATATGTGTACATACATCTATTTCCTTGCTATGTCAGCTGAGAAGACCTAGGGAGAATGACAGCCCCATAGAAATAAGCATATCTAAAAAAAAAAAAAAAAAAAAAAAAGAAATAAGCATATCTAGCACCAGACTGTGGTTTTTGTTTTTTTTTTTTAAGATTTTTCTTTATTTATTCGACAGAGATCACAAGTAGACAGAGAGGCAGGCAGAGAGAGAGAGGGGGGAAACAGGCTCCCCGCTGTGCAGAGAGCCCCATGTGGGACTCGATCCCAGGACCCCAAGATCATGACCACTGAGCCACCCAGGCGCCCCCAGACCGTGGTTTATAATGCCACTCTCCAATAAAAGGACTAGGTCACCTTGGAGAAATGGCTGATTCTATAACTGGGGCAGGAAATATGCAGGATGATCCAGGAGCATCTAATAGTGACAGGAGGTAAGGCAGTACCCCAAAAGTCCACAATGATGGGGGAGGTGGAGAGAAACCCAAAAGGACACAGGTGAAAGAGCTCCCAATGGTCAAAGCTGGAATAATTTGGGAAAGAAAATAAAGTAGTGTTGTATTGTAATCCAAAGTATAAAATAAATATCCATGAGTCCATATTGATATGAATAAGTAAGTCAATTAGGAAGAACAGATAACATCTCACACACAGAACAATTCCAAATAATTTCTGTTGTGACATAACTCCCCACCCCTTAATTGTGGGCTCCCCATAGTGACCTCCTTAAATAGAGGACAATTTGGAAAGGAGTGAGGCAGGAAGTAACTCTACAGTGCAGACACATGTTAAATACTAGCTTAGCCAGTTGATCAAGGTCAACATCAATAGTAATAAGTCATGTTGATAAGTATGTACCCTTGATATGACATGACAAGAATGGCACTTCACCTCAGTGGTCTTCCTCCTAAAAAAATCCATAACCCAAGTCTAATTGTGAGAAAAGCATCAGACAAATCCCAGTCAAGGTGCATTCTACAAAATGACCAATACTCCCCCAAACTGTTAAAGCCATCAACAACAAGGAAATTCTGAGAAACTGTCACAGCCCTGAGGAGCCTAAGGAGACATGACAACTAAATAATGTAGTATCCTGGATGTGATCCTGAAACAGAAAAGAGGACATTAGGGAAAAGCTAAAATACCTAAAGAAAGTTTGCGCTTTGTTAATAATGAGGTATCAATATTGGTTCATTTATTGTGTCAAATGTATCATACTAATGCAAGATGATAGTAACAGGAGAAAGTGGGTGTGGAGTATATGAGAATTCTGTGCCATCGTGGCAATTTTTCTATAAATCTAAAACTATTCTAAAATAAAGGGTTTTTTTTAAAGTACCCAGTTGTATCATGCACCAAAATGTTCACTTGATTTTTGGGGGGGTGGTAGGATCATGAATGCTTGCTTTATTTTTTTAAAGGATTTTATTTATTTATTTGAGAGAGAGAACAAGAGCCAGAGAAGGGGCAGAAGAACAAGCAGACTCCCCACTGAGTGGGCAGCCCAATGTAGGGCTCCATCCCAAGATCCCGAAATCATGACCTAAGCCAAAGCCAGATGCTCAACCTACTGAGCCACCCACACATCTCCATGAATGCTTGATTTACTGTGCTGTTCCAATTTTTCTACAATGTACTATTTATAAAATCTGTAAACATTTTTTTTTAAGTTGTATGAACTTCTAGTTGGACAACAAATTAATAATATGCCTTTATCTCCTCTCCCTCCACACACCCATAACATTTTTTTTTTTTAAGTATAGACCTATGAGAATACAGAGAATAGAAGTGAAAACATTAGTGGACAAGAGAGTTAGTTCAGTAATTTGGGGATGATTAAAGTGGCTGGAGGAGAGGTAACTGAGGTAGTAGAGTAAGTAAAACTAAGAGTCAGAAGGGCCTGGAGAGGGAATTGATGGTGATAATGAGGCAGATTCTACCCAGAGATCCCAGAGAGATGGGGAACCCAGAGGCAGCAGGTTTTGCAAGAAGTGGGTTTGAAGCATGAGCTAAACACTAGAGATTTGGTTGAAAAAGATATGTGAAGAAAGAACATCTCCAGATCCCCTCTTAATCCCATATAGTCAGGGAACTATGTCCCTACCAGAGAAGGGTTTTTCTTCTCTAGAAAGATTGAAACAGAGCACCTCCAAGTTCAGTGACTCCACCAACAGTAGAAGGGCAGCTGCCTGGCTGAAAACAGGTAAATCTAGTGTAAGTTCACTTGTTAATATTGGGGCCATTTGGCAGATTCCATTACCCCATTCCCAGAAAGGGACTGTTAGGTATATGTCCCCTGGGTAGACGAATGGAGGATTCTTCACTGGAAAACACCTACTACCTCCAGAGAGAAATCCTCTAAATAATAACTTTTTGTGATCTCCCAATGAAATAGCCTGAGAGTGAAGCCCACTCATCAAATCCCTCTCATGTCCCCACACTGCACACACAGTTGCCAACCACATTGACAGCTCTCTGTTGTTGTTTTCTTTCTTGCTTGCTTGCTTTCTTTCTTTCTTTTTTCTTTCTTTCTATTTTTTTTTGACACCTCCCTGTTTTAAAGGACTGTATGGCCCGGGATCACCAGAAATTTGCAGGAACCACCCACATGAAAGAGACCAAAGCAAACAAACACTAAAAACAGAAAATGAACTTAAAGGAAATAGAGATGAAGAAAAGAAGACATTTTTCATATATCCTTTTAATAAATAGCCTCAGATCTAGAAGAAGATGCACTTCCATGAGAAAGAACAGGATGGTTTGAAAAGGGAATAATCAGAGGATGAGCAAGAGCAATTTGAAATTTAAAATGTGATAGCTAAAATAAAAGATCCAACAAAAGATCAGAAAAATAAAGTTGAAGAAATCTCCCAAAAAGTAGAATAAAAGCATCAATGAAAATTAGTTTCAGAGAAAAGAGTTTTAGAGGATTATTCAAGGTGTTCTGACATCTGTATTCAATTTCAGAAAACAAAATATGGGAAATTTTTTAATAATAATAATATAAGAAAATTTCCCAGAAAGGACATAAATCTCCAAATTAAAATTACCCTCTAAACGTTCAGAATAGAGGGGAAAATACCAAGGCAATAATTTTAAATTTCAGAATGCCAGAATAAAAGACATAACCTAATAGCTTCTAGAGAAAAAGATCATGTTGTCTGTGAAGGTGTAAGAAGCTGTGGAATCAGACCTCTCAACAGCAGTGCAGGATGCTGGAGGACAACAGTGTTGGGCACCCTAAGTTCTGAGTGAAAATTATTTTTATCCTATAATTCTATACTTATCGAAATAAAGGACAAGGATAAGTGTGAAATAAAGATATTTTCAGATACGTAAGAACTCAAAATTTGTACCTCCCACACACCTTTTCTTAGGAAGATAGTGAAGGATATGATTCAGTGAAATGAAAGGCTGAGCCAAGAACCAGGAACAAGGGGATGCCAGAAAACAGAAACAATCCAAAGGATAAGAATGATAAAAGGAAGTCCTAAGATGACACCTGAGTCCCAGGTATAAAGAGCAACCCATCCAAACTGAAGTAAGATGAGAGAGGGCATAAAAAGGAGACCTCCAGGGGTAGATGGCAGGAAAGATAT